TTAAAAACCTGTCTTTTCTTTCTTACCAGTTTTAAATATTCCTAGAAATCTCAGGTTCTCTGGGCTTGTTGCTGTTAAATTTCACCCTAAAGGGAACATGTTGGACTTGTACTCTCCTCAATCCCCTTTTGAATGTTCCCCATTGTTCTGCTGCAGATTTACCCACAAGTAGCATTCACAGTCTACTTTGGCCGGATCCTGCCTTATTGTAATTAAATCTACCTTCCCCCAAATCAAAACCCTTTTTGCAGACTGCCTTTTTCCCTTTCCGTCACAAACTTTAAACATACAGTGTTGTGGTCACTATCACTAAAGTGCTCTCCCCTGTCACCTGAAACACCTGACCAGCTTTGTTCCCCAGAATTAAGGCCAACACAGCACTGTCCCTTGTTGGACTTTTTATATGCTGGTATAAAAAGCTCTCGTGAATACATTTCAAGAACTCTACCCTCTCTAAACCAGTTATACTATGACTATCCCAGTTAATATTAGGGACGTCGAACTCCCCAAATGTAATTGCCTTTTCTTGTATTTATACCCCTCCATGAATTGTCGACATAATCTGCTGCTCCACTACTACTTGCTTACTGTTTGGGGGTCTATAATACAGTCCCAGCAATGTGACTGCCCCGTTTTTCATCCTAATATCAACCCACAAAGCCTCATTTGAAGACCCTTCCATGATATCCTCCCTCCTTATGACAACAACTAACTCCATCATTAATGATATGACACCACCTTTTTACACCCTCCTCTGCCTTGCCTGAAGACTCTACACACCCAGATGTTGAGTTGACAGTCCTGCTCCTCCCTCAACCACATCTTAGTGATGGCAATAGCATGTGTCATTCCACACCCTTAACTCCTCTGTCTTAGCTGTAATGCTCTCAGCATTGAAGTAGAGACCGTCCAGCCTCCCCTTTCCCTGTTGAAATTCAACATGGCTGAACTCCCTTTGCCTTGGTTCCTTTACTAAAAATGCTGTGTCCCTGTTGTACTATCACTCTGTGTCCCTTCCCCTGCCAAGCTACTTTAAATGCCTCCTAACAGCATGAGCAAATCCTCCTGCAAGGATATCGTTCCCATTCTTGTTCAGGTGCAGACTGTCCCACTTGACAAGGTTCCCCCCTTTCCAAGCAATGATCCCAATGATCAAGGAATCTAAAACCTTCTCTCCTGCACCAGTTATTGAGCCACACATTCATCTGCTCTGTTCTCGTTTTTTGTGCTCATTAGCACATAGCATCAGGAGTAATCCAGAGATTACAACCTTTGAGGTTCTCTTCTTAATATAATGCCTAACTCCCTGAATTCTTGATGCAAAACTTCATCCTTCATTCCGTCTGTATTGTTGGTATCAATGTGTACCATGACCTCTGTCTTATTATCGTGTCTCTTTAGGGTGACCCTGCAGCTTCTCAGTGATGTCGCTGACATTGGCGCCAGGAGGGCAACACAACATCCAGCAGTCATGTCTGCAGCTGCAGCAATGCCTGTCTGTTTCCTTAACTAATCAATCTCCTATCACTCCTACTTTCTTCTTCCTCCCTCCTGTACAGTCAGACTGCTCATAGTTCCAGAAGCTTTGTTCTGTCAGCACTTCCTTGAGGAACAAGCACCCTCATCAGCTTCTAAAATGGAAAAGTGATTTGTGAGTGGGACCTCAGGGGACTTCTGCACTGTTTCCTTGTTCTCCTTGAGTGCCTGGTGGTCACCCATTCCCTTCATTCTTCCAGGTCCTTGAGCTGCCAGCTACTTCCTCAAAAATATAACTTAACTGTTTTGTCAAAGATGATTGCCCTTTCTTAAATCCATGTTGACTCTGCCTAATCAGATCACTACTTTCTAAGTTTCCAGTAATCATATCCTTCATAACAAATTGTAGTGGCTCAACTACTACTGACTTTGGGCCAACAAGTCTATCGTTCTCCATTTTCACTATTCTTTCTTTCATAAACAGTCACATTACATATCAATCTGCAGGCACCATTCCAGAATCCACAGAGTTTTGAAAGATGACCATCGATGCTTCCACTATCTCTGTAGTCACCTCTTTCAACACTGTGGGATGTAGATAATCAGGTCTCAGGCATTTTTCATATTTTGATTGCATTAATTTCTCCATTACAAATCCTGATTTCTTTTGGTTTCTCATTTTCACTAGTTCTTTGGATCTGTATTATACCTGGGAGATTTCTTGTCTCTTCTTCCATGAAGGCAGACACGAAGTAAATACTTAGTTTCTCTACCATTTCCCTTTCCCTTATTAGAAGTTGTCCTGTCTCTGCCTATAATGGATACACATTTGTATTTTCTAATCTTTTCCTTTTTGCATACCTATTGAAGATCTTTCAGGTTCTTTGCTAGTTTACATTCATATTCTATTCTCCCTTTTTATTTTATTGGTCCTCCTTTGCTGAATTCTAAGATTCTCTCAGTTGTCAGGCTTTTTTGGCAAATTTATAAGCCTTCTGCTTTGATCCATTACAATCTTTAACTTCTTTTGTTAGCTCAATTGACTTGGTCTTCCTGTTGGGCCTTAAAGGAATGTATATTGTAAACATGTATTAATTCTTTTAAATACCCACCCTTACCCATCTACCATTGTACCTTTTCAATGCATTAAGCCAGCCTACCACAACCAGCTAGCCCTCATAGCTTAACATGTTCCTTTGTTTAGATTTAAGACCCCAGTTTTGGATTAAATTACATTTTATTCAAACATAGAATTTTCCATTATTATATTACGTTACTTTTCCCTCAGGGTTTTTGTACATCAAGGTTTTAATTAGTCCTTTCTCATTGCACAATACTGAATCTAAAATAGTCTGTTCCCAGTTGGTTCCTCTACATATTGTTTTAGAAAATCATCTCATACACATTTCAGAAATTAATCTTCTACAACATTGTTGCTCATTAGATTTAGCCAAATGTAGATTTTAGTCACCATGATTACTGTATTCCCTTTGCTACAAGCACTTCTTATTTCCTGATTTGTGCAATATCCTTCATTCCCACCACTGTCTGGTGGCCTATAAACAACCGAAAATGTTTGCTGCCCCTTGCCGTTTCTTAGTTATCCAAACATTCTACATCTGGATCTCTCAATCTGAGATCCTCTCTCAAAATATACTGACCTTTTTACCTGCTGTTCCTGAATGTTGATTATCCTTGATGATCATCCCAGCCTTGGGCATTCTGTGGTCACATCTTGTAATGATAGAACTATCGTACTTATTTATTACTTTGGGGCACCAATTCACCTACCTTGTTGTGAATGCTGTGTGCATTCAGGTTGAATGCCTTTAATACTGTTCTATATTTTGATCCTATTTGATGTTAGCATTTGTCTATACTGCCTTCCATTTTTGTTTACAACTTTTCTACTTCTTGTAACCACTTTTGTTTTTCCAGGATATTAGTGCTGATCTTACTAAAGTGCAACCTGTTCTCCTTGTGCAGATCCCACTTGTGTCTGAAATTGAGAGCCCTTCCTCCTAAGCTATTTTTCTGGCCGTGTGCTGATTTGCACGATTGTCCTATTTCTGTATTAGTTTGTACCTGATAGTAATCTTGGTTTTCAGTCTCTTTGCTGGCTCCCTCTGCTCTGCTTTCAGGACTTTCTCTTTCTTCTTGCGTATGTCATTGGTACCAATTTATGACCATGATGTCTGGCTGTTCAGCCGCACCCAAAGGACTGTTCTGCAGTAGCTCTGTGACATTCCTGACTCTGGAACCAAGAGGACAACGTACTGTCTTGGCAGTATGTCTCTGTTTCTATTACTGTTGAATCTCCTACCACTACTGTGCTTCCACTCTCCTTCATCCCACTTGCCCAGACACCTGTGCAGTTGAGCGACATGTGGTGCCATAAACTTGGCTATTGCTACATTCCTCTGAGGAATCATTGCCCTCATCAGTATCCAAAATGGAAAACTGGTTGCTAAGCAAGATAGCCTCAGGGGACTCTTACATAACCTGCCTGGCACTGCTAGGCTGTCTGCAAGGTGAAGGGGTGATTAATAGAGGAAAGTAAAATGATGGTCTATTTTGAATAATTAGAGAAATTGTTTGCAGTGGCTGTGGTGTTGATAACTAGTGGGTATAGCTATAGGATGATTGGGAAAAGAACCAAAGATGCCTTTAGGAAAACAGTTTTATGCGTTAATTGTTTGGAATTTGGAAACACTGCCAGTTATGGTGGTGAATGCAAATTGAAAATTGGAGACACACATGGAAGAGAAGAATTTGAAGGGTTATTCTTTTGAACAAGCTGACAGTATTGATGAACCAAATGGCCTCATTCTATACTATATGATTCTAGGATTCTATGTTTGATTTTTGTTAAGATCATAGAATAGATCATGGAATCGCTACAGTGTGGAAACAGGCCCTTTGGCCCAACAAGTCCACACCGACCCTCAGAGCATCCACCCAAACCCATCCCCCTATAACCCACCTAATGTACAAATCCCTGAGCACTGCAGGCAATTTAGCATGACCAATCCACCTAGCCTGCACATCTTTGGACTGTAGGAAGATACCTGAGCACCCGGAGGAAACCCACGCAGACACTGGGAGAATGTGCAAACTCCACACAGACAGTCACCCGAGGGTGGAATTGAACTCTGGTCCCTGGCGCTGTGAGGCGGCATTGCTAACCACTGAGCCACCGTGCCTCCCAGAACAATAACTTGAACAATAATCTAAAAACACTGTGAATGAAATATTAATTTATCAACAAATAGTAAAGATGTCATTAAACTTTAAATTTGTATTAAAAATACAATTAAATTGTGGAATGAAACCACACCGGTGTTGTTATTGGAATATATTCTGGTACAACTGCATAAAATGTTATTAACTGAAATTCTGTTTTAGATTAATAAAATTTCACAAAACTACAGTTCTTAATTGAGTAGAGCAGCTGATGTGGAGAGTAACAACATTTATCGTGATTTCTTTGGTTCTGCCTGGTAAATATTTATTTTATTTTCTAGCCTCCTGAGGACATTAGTTGTGTTGCCTGGAACAGGCAAGTACAGCATATCCTGGCTTCAGCTAATCCAAGTGGTCGTGCTGTTGTTTGGGACCTGCGGAAGAATGAGCCAATACTGAAAGTCAGTGACCACACCAATCGAGTAAGTAGTTTTCTTGGAAAATGTTATGTTTGAGGCAGTATGCAACATTGTTCAATTGTAGTAAAGAATTTTAGAATTCATAAAAAAGTGAAATGAATTTTCTGGTTGTGTAGAATCTGAAGTAATGTTCCTCACCTTCTTTACCAAAGTTTCCCTACGCCTCTGCGGGTTATTCCTTTTCTGTTATGGCTACTTTCATAAAACATAAAGTTATGCACCATGTAGCATGACTATGTCATTATGCACTGCTAAAACAGCCAACACATTGGTAGATTCCCGGAAGGGTGGTGTAAACAAATGTGTTATGATTGTTCCAACATTTAATTCAGTATAACATTTTGGGAAAAGAAATGGTAACACAATAATTCTTGGGAAGAAAGATAGGATTGTACAAACATTTCTTGCGTCAACTCTTAGCTGCCTCAGAATTTTACTCCAAAATGGAACCTTATGCAATGTGTAATTATTTTCAGTATAGGTTTGGAAAGTTTTTAATTCATTCCGGAAATGTTGGCCTTGCCACACAAGGTCAGTATTTATTGCCCATCCTTAGTGCATTTGATGTTATGTGTCCACCCATAACACTGTCAGGTAGGGAATTCCAGAATTTTGACCGAGCATCAAAGGAATGTTGATACACTTCCAAGTCGGGCTGTTGCAAGGGAGCTTGCAGATTTTGGTTTTCCTGCTCCTCTGCTGCCATTGTTCTTCCTTTATTCCTTTCATAGGGTGGGGCTGTCACTGACAAGGCCATCATTTGTTGTCCATATCTGCCCTTGCTAGGCCAGCTCACCAGGCAATTAAAAGTCAACCTGATTGCTGTGGCTCTGGAGTCACATGTAGGCCAGACCTGGTAAGGAAGCTGATTTCCTTTCTTGAAGTATGTTAATGAACCAGATGACAATGCATGAAAGCAATGGTGATCTGTGATGGGCTTAGGGTGTGCCAAAAGCTAAGACTTAATTTATATTCTAGAGTTAGTAATTGAATATAAATTCCAGCTGCTGTGGGATTTGAATCCATGACCATAAAGCATTAGCTTAGGTTTCTGCAATACTAGTCCAATGACATTACTGCTTTACCACTTCTTCATTGCCTCCTGCCCGGTGGTATAGGCCGTGGTTTGAAAGATGCTGTCAGAAAAGTGCTTGGCTTGTTCTTGGGGTGCATTTTATAAGTGGTACGTACTGAGGCCACAGCAAGCAGCTGGTGGAGGCAATGAACGCTTGTGGCTGTGGAGTTATCAATCAAGAGGATTTAATTGTCCTGGAAAGGGTTGAGCATTTTGAACATTGTTGGGTCTGCAATCGTCGAGTAATTTTTAAAAAATTTGCACTGCCCAGGTCTCACTGTGGACTTTGCACAACCAGAAAATTCATCACACCTTCTTTATTATTAGCATATTGAAGCAAGAAAGGAGGCCGTGTGTCCTGACATGTCTGAGAGAAATTCTGTGCTCCCATTCCTATGCTCTTTCCCTATAGACTTGCAAATTTTTTAAAAATCCAAGTGCTTATCAATTCCGTTTGAAAGCCCGATTGAATCTGCTTGCCCCTCAGCATTTAAGATACTAACCTCTTGTTGTGTTTTTTTTAAACTTTGTCTCTGTCGGTTCTTTTGCCACTTCCTTTAAACCACTGGCTTCTGGTTCTTTGTTTTATTGGATGGAACATCAGCAGAGGTTTGGCTACAGTTTCCTGAGTTGCATGACAGGTGGGGAATGCTCCCCATCAGAAAAGCATCCCTGATATGCATTAATTAGTGTAATGGTAGTTGAAAGTTGCTTTTCCTCATGCCCGTAGTCCTTGTGTGACTGTTTCTCTAGCTTTCCCCTTCTGGCTCATTTTGTTATTTTCTGCTTCTCTATCTTCTTCTTTCCATTTGGTGGATGGTGCCAGGGAAAGAAGCCTTAGATGTTTAAATTGGTTGGGATTGTAAATTCAAACTTATGGGTCTCAGGAGATTCTCTTGTGATGACTGCCTCTGCTGCTCTGTCTTTCCATTACATCCGTTTCTTTTGTCTTCCTGCTATCCTTTCTTCTACCTTCAATTGTCTTACTTTCAGAATTAACACTGCCTTTTCCTGTTTAAGTACCTGCCTTTCTTTCACTAATCAACTTGCCAAAGGTAGCTGTCAAGTGCCCAGAAGCAAGGTTAACCGATTTCCATTTTTCCCTCCCATATTCTACTTTTTATCTCAAAGGATTTGTATACTTTCAAAATTCAAGGAACTAAAATAGAATGAGAAAAGGAAATGCCTATTGTTCTCTAAATTATAAACTGCTACTCTTTCTTTTCCATCTTGCCTTCTGTTCTTTACCACCAGCACCAGCCAATTTGTATTAAATTGGCTATGAGCATTGCCAGAGGAAATTCAGTGGTATTTGTATTCTTTTACACAAGTGTGTTGTTCCTGTTGGCAGATGCACTGCTCTGAACTGGCCTGGCATCCTGATATTGCCACACAGATGGCTGTTGCATCAGAGGATGATCGAATGCCTGTGATTCAAATGTGGGACCTTCGATTTGCAACATCTCCCTTGCGAGTGCTGGAAAACCACACAAGGTAGTGTTAAATACAGAGGAAGACAAGTCAGGTTGTTGTTGTTACCCTTTTTCATCCTGATTTAGCGAGACATTCACTTCTTTTCTTAATAACTGTAATCCATTAAATCTTTTCTGTACATTTTCATAGTTAATAGAGAAGAATTGGAATTATATCATGCATTTTTGTGAATACTTTCCTCCTTTGTTACAAAGATTATTTGTCATCCTCACAATGCTTCTGAACCACGTATTTTGCCCCTTTTTGTAGCAGTGTTCCTTCTTTGCTCGGTTTATAATATTGACTTAGTTATGTAACTAATATGCCCAGCATTTCTATGGAATGCATCCCCATGAAATGGCCATCTACAAAGATTCCTCCAAGCCTTGGATGGTTGTCACTTACTTATTTTCTTCTCGGTCAATCATTGTCATCTTCAAAGTTTCACTTTCAGACAGTTGGTAACACTGTGGCTGGAGTCAGAAAATCAATACTTCAAAGCCCACTTTAGGACTTGAGCACAATAACACGAGCTGGTATTTCAGTGTAGCATTAAGAGCATACCCACTATCTGAGTTGCTGCCCTTTAGCTAAACTAATGAACTGAATCCTTCATTAAATGGCGTGTAAAAGATTTCATATCATCATTCAAAGAAAAGTTGGTTTCTCCTGGTGTCCTTCACTAGAAAGACTAGATCATTCATCTCATCCTTGTCTGTGGGACCATGCTGTACCCAAAATGGCTGCAGTGTTTGCTGAGATAACAAATTGCTTTTGAATCTTTAGAAGTTCCTCCTCATCTTCCTTCAGATCAGTTCAGGACACTGCATAAACTTTACAAAAGGGCATTATTCCCAATACTGTTGAAGATTTTTATGTCAATATTATATGAGAATCTGTTTGGATTTGGCTATGAAGCAGCCAAAGTTAAATAGCTTCCTGTCACACCAGTCTGGATTATCCAATTGATATGGTAATGCTGGTGATTGTGAGGTCTGAGAGGGCTGTTTGTGCTGATGCTTTATTTTTTCAGGTTATGCACAGTATTTCATTCTTACTAACATTGTAACTTAAATATGTTTTATAGAGGAATTTTAGCCATTGCCTGGAGCCTGGCGGACCCAGAGCTACTTTTGAGTTGTGGGAAGGACAATCGTATGCTTTGCTGGAACCCCAACACTGCAGAGGTAAGCGAAATATTTAATGAAAAGGAAAAAAAACACAACTCTAGAGACATAAGAACAGGAGTAGGCCATTCAACCCATTGATCTTGCCCTGCCATTCAAGACAATGATGGCTTGTTGAACAATTTCAGTAATAATCCCTGTACCCTGGCTTTATTGGTAATCAGAAATATTTTAATCTTGACTCAATCTCAATTTTTCACCAGGCTAGATGCAGAATAAGATGTAACTTTGTAGTGATTTGAAATTTTTGAGGACTCTTTTCCGAAGAATGAACTAAATATTTAAATTAATGTGTATCCATTGAGTGTCCCAATTTGTACAACAGTGTGCACTTATATAGCTCCTTTAGCATAGTAAGTTGTTTCAAGGCACTTTGCAGGAACATTGGAAAGGCTAGAATAGGAGGAGAGCTGATATCTCAGAGGGTTGCAGAATTGTATGAGATTACAGAGATGAAAAGGATGAGGCTATGGAGGGACATAAAACCAAGAGAAGTTTAAAATACAAGCTTTGATTAACTGAGAATGTGTGTATTTCAGTAAACACAAGGGTGGTATCTGAATGTGATTTGGTGCAAATTAGAATACAAACAGCAGAGTTGTGGTCGAACAAGCTTATGGAGGGTCGGACGTAAAAGTACAGCTAGTCAAATATGATCCCAAAACTACCAACTGTTTGCCTCAACCTCGCAGTTATCAGGAGGAGGGATAGGAGTCGATAGCTTGAGAACAGTTTTTCCAGCAGGACAAATGAAAATGGTGTTCCCATTTATAATTTATTTTAAGTGAAGGAAAGTTCTACTGCTGCAGTACTGAATGGCGGGTTATCAGTTTGATAAATCGGATAATAGGGGATTTGAAAGAAGTGATCCTCAGGTTGGATTGAGTTCACTGAGCATGTATATGGAAACTGATGCTGTATTTGAATTATATCACTGAGGGGCAGCTTGTCAATGAGAAATAGGAGGGGGCTAAGGATACTTGGAACACCAGAGGTAATAGTGTGGGAGCAGGAAGACATAACATTGTAAATGATTTTCTGGTTATAATGAGGAAGGTAAGAAGAGCACCAGGTAGGAACATTTCCACCCAATTTGTGAATGATGGCGCGATAGAGGAGGATTGTACAGTCAGTAGTGCTAAAGGAGTGCACAGGTTGAGAAGAATGATGGGGTGGGGGGAATGGTGTTCCTTTATCACAGTCACATAAGACGTCGGTTGTGACTTGAACAGCCATCTTTCTACTGTGGTCGGGCAGAAACCTGACTAGAGGTCATCAAACAAAGTTTCTATGAAAATTAGATAAAATGTTTTGGATGTGACTTTTGTGGTTTTATCCATTGATCTTGTGATAATTGACTGGCTTTACCATTTTGTCATTAAGTTAATACTTGATAGGGATTTCAAAACAAAACTTAGCTGGCTCCTCCTTACTCAAAGGGCTCCATAGAGGAGACATTTAAGTGAATATAAAAGCACAAGTGCAAAAAAAAATTTGGAGACAAGAGTGGGAATTTGAATAGATCGAGAAAGTTAAATTGTTTGAGCCATTTGAGTGGATCCCCAGAGGCAGTACAAAATATACTGCCACGTGAACTTTGTGTCCAAAAACCCGAGAAAAATGGTTAATTTTCCCTACTATTCAGTCCTGTTTGATTGCTTACCATCACCTTAGCTCACAGAAAACATTGAGTCTGGTGGAGAATCCTATTGCTTGGGTACATAGTTAACTCTATAATGAATCGGTCCTATGTGTACATAGATATATGGCTGACAGCACTTCCCTGTGCCTTCTGTTTACACATTACAAATTGGAATGGTTAAGCTCAGTATTAACATTGTCTGTATGACTTGATTTGAATTGTGCATCATCCATTCTAATTATTAACCTGTAATTATTTGTTTTCTTGTTCCTGAATGTTATCAGGTTGTATATGAGCTTCCAACGGCTACACAGTGGTGCTTTGATATTCAGTGGTGCCCCAGGAATCCTGCCATCCTCTCTGCTGCTGCATTTGATGGCCACATCAGCATCTATTCTCTCATGGGTGGGAATCAGGATGCACAAAGGCAGCGACAGGTTGACAATGTAAGTGAATCATTTACGAAGGTGGTGGAGTTTTATCTCTCTTGTGTGAATTTCATCATGTTTAATCTTGCTATGGTTCCTTCGCTGCATTTAACAAGAGATGCCTTTGCATACTTTCAGCAAATATGCCAACATGTTCTGAAGGAAAACTAAAATTTACATGGCAAAACTGGCAGCACCAAAGTCTTGACTACAGTATTAAACAACTACATATATTCATCCTTTGGAGTTGAGGAAATCAGTCGATTGTCCATTGGACAGTGCAGTTAGCTAACAACAGCAACTTGGATTTAACTAGCACGTTTAGCGTAATACAGCATCCCAAGGTGCTTCACAGGAATATTAGAAAACACAATATAATACTGAAGCATGTAAGGAGATATTCAGTCAGATGACCAAAATTTGGTCAAAGAATTGGCTTTGAAGAAGTGCTTTCAAGGACGAAAGTGAGGTAGAGAAGGCAAGAGGCCCAGGGAGGGAATCCCATAACTTTGGACTTAGGCAACCGAAGGCAGAACTGTGAAGGGTAGACTGATTTAAAGTACTAAATGCTAAAGAGGCCAGAATTAGCTGAGCACAGACAACTTGGAGGGTTGTGGAACAGGAGGAGATTACAGAGGTAGGGATGGAGCAAGGCCAAAATGGGATTTGAAAACAAGGGTGAGAATTTTGAAATGTAGACATTGCTTGACTAGGATCCCATGTAGATCAGCAACAGAGCTAGTTAGGGCATGGGCAGCAGAAACTCAAATTTCAAAAGGGTAGAATGGGGGGAATGCATTGGAATAGTTGAGTCTGAAGGTAACAAGGGTGTGAAAATCTATTTCTTTAGCAGATGAGCTGAGTTGGAAATGGATAGCCTTCATGTTGATACAAACGTCCGATGGGAACCTCATCCTGTGGTCAAATCTGACAGCAAGTGATCGGTCTGGTTTAATTGCAGCAAAAGTAAAATTTATAAATCATGTAGGGACTGGAGATGTGAACTCTTGGACAACGAATGAGGAGAGCAGAAGAGACACATTGCTGGAGATAGAGTTGTGCAGGAGGCACCTTTAGCGTAATACAGCATCCCAAGGTGCTTCACAGGAATATTAGAAAACACAATATAATACTGAAGCATGTAAGGAGATATTCAGTCAGATGACCAAAATTTGGTCAAAGAATTGGCTTTGAAGAAGTGCTTTCAAGGACGAAAGTGAGGTAGAGGAGGCAAGAGGCCCAGGGAGGGAATCCTTAGGGAATTATTAGGGATTCATGAGGATAAGGAAAAAAAGATAATCTCC